AAAACAGCGACAAGACTGGATATAGAGGAAGCGAAATTGATAATGCTTTCTGAATTGTGCATTTTGAGAGGGGGAAAAGTCAAAAGTTTTTCAAGATGAGCCATTACAATTGTCTGTGGTTTTCCAAATTTCGTCTCCAGAGTTTTCAAAGCGTCCTTGTAAAACATTCGACTGTTAGCGAATTCGGTAATTGCATTATTCGCTTTGCCTGAAACGAGGGTTTTGAGATATGTCAGTTTGACATCATCACTTAAAACTTTTGCATCGATTGCGCTTTTGAACTGACCAAACCAGTCAGGCCACTGCAAGGGATTTACGTCGAAAGAGGACAATTTCCACTCAGGCAAGGGATCTTTCTGGCTCAGTGTCAAGATTTTGGCTAGATCTTGATTAGTGATTGGTCTACTGCCCGAGGACGTAATTGGGTCATATTGTTTGTTCTTACTTGTATAAGGCGCCATCAGCTGCTTCGAATAGATAGCGGTGTCTACAGCATTAGGATTACCGACATAAAAAGTTGTTCCTCCGCTAGAGAACGGTTGAACATTCGATGGCTGTGTCACATTATTTGAGTTAGGGGCAAAGATGACTGTTGAAAGGTTTAGAGGACCAACGTTAGTGGGTAAAAGCGGTTGGTACACAAAACTTGCAGAAGTATTAGGGACAAAGGTTTATTGAGCAATGGGCATTGAGCTCGTCGGGATATTAGACTGATGGAAACTACTCTGTATCAAAGGGTTGTAGCTTTATAAGTTGGTCAAAGGTAGCTGTTCCTGTGGCTCATAAGTATTATTTACACTTGGATTTGGCAAGCTGACACTTGTATTTGATGTATGAGGAACGTTAACAATCTGTGAGTTTATACACGTGGTTTCGAAATAATTAGCACTTGGTTGAGAGTTATTAATCCTTGTCCGATTTCTACTGAAAGGCGGTTCAATACTTGAAAATAATAAGAACTTGGTAGCTGGTTCCAGATTGACACTTTTGACAGGCGCCACGGGCTGAACTATCTCCTGAGCTGAGATTTGAGTGTTCACCCAACTTCTTGTCCTGTCTTCCTCCGTTTGGTTCTCCTGAACGGCCATTGCCAATTTCGATCTGCCACGACGAAGTCCAAAGATTTCAGAGGCGTCTTCCAGATATTCAGCCTCTTCGATAGTTGCTTCGGCTAGCTTTTGACGGCTTTTCTCTACAACCACGTCAAGTTCAAATTGACCCTTCATCGACTGAATCTGGATCTCTTGCTTTTTCAAACGCTTAGCCTATGCCTGGCGTTCAACTTCCTCGCGTCTAATTTTTGCAAGGGCTGCCTCTTTTCGACGCTCACTCGAAGTCATTGATGCAAACTTAGAACGCTGTGAAGGGGGTTTCTTGGAACGGACGGATTCGCTTGGCGTTGGGGTTCTTGCAGTTGATACCTGGTCCTCTTGAGGTTTAATTTGAAAGTAATTTTTAGCTAGACCTAATACATCGTCATTTTTTGCAGTGATAGATCCAAGTTAAAACTCAAGTTGAGTTATTGATTCAGCAGCGTTGTTGCTGTGAATAGACAAATATTTAAGCTCACCGTTTTTCTGTTTAATTTTTTGTAAGCAAATGCTAGATTTTTCGATGTACGTTTCAATTTTAGCTGGTCTATCATCCGCACTTAGATATTCCGTAATTTTGGAATGGTAATCGAAAAGATTCGTTTCCAACTCTTTCCTGGCAGGATAAATTTGTTTAGTTTTTGGCCGAGATCAAGCTCCATTTTGAAATATTTGTTTTTTAATTAAGAGCAAAAAAAATTAGCGTCGATTGACGGAATCAAACTAAAATCAATTCAAGTAGCCGCGTCGTATACCGAACGAGGGGATCCTCGCAAGACCCTTACGATTCCCGTTGGCTACGGAACAGAAGGACATCAAACTACAAAACTGAAAATAAAGATGAATTTAACTAATGAAAAAAAAAGCAAATCAAGATTTATAATGCCTAACAAATGATAAATATTCTTCGACTGTTGTCATTTGTGAAATCTTACGCTTATCTGCTTTTCTTTTCCTTGACTTTGGTCGACGACTTTTAACTTTATTGATAAATTCAAACAGATTGAGGAAATAACGTCGAATAATTCTCAATTTTTTTTTTTCCAAAAACGCCGGAGGATGAATTAATTTAATTTTACGAATTAATTCTTTGTTTTTAGCTTTTCTTTTCGAGATTAAATGTTTGGTCACATCAATTGTTAATATTACTGTTTCAACCAAACGTCCATAAATATTGGGGGTGTTTTGACGGTGCACGTAAATAATAGCTGATATTTTGTCTTTGTATTCTTAAAATTTCAATTAGACTTTCTGGTGTAAGTGGGTTATCGTTGTTTGATCTATGCTTGCTCAATGAACTATTTATAACATCGTGCCAATTTATAAAATTTTTTTCTTTCATTTTTTTTGTGGATTTGCTTAAAAGATTTTGAACAGTCTTTTGCCGGTTTTTTGCATTCAAATTAAAGCTTAAGCCTGGAACTGCTTGAAAAGTGTCGTCGAGGCGTTTTTGTAGAGTTAATGGTAATGTATTTACGGAGTGATGGAGAGAACTCGCAGCAATGATGAACACCATTGAGAGTGATAAGCGATACGGTTGGTTTAATGGCAATCAATTTAAGGAGTCGGTTGTTGTAAAGTCGTCACATAGAAATAAAATAAAATTATGACGATAATAACTTTAAGAACCCTTAGCTGAGGGTTTGTAAGGTTCTACTAAGGCTTCCATTCAGTACTATTCAAGTTAAAGCGTACGGTTTATCGGTTAAACTCAACGACGTTACGGTAGTAGTAACGGTCGCGGCTGTATGCGGCCGAAAACGGGGCGAGCCGAGCAAATTTTTAAAAATTATCCAACCTCTTGAGGAAACCGAGGTAGGGATTCACTCAAAAAACTTGCTCGACACGATTGACGGTTTCAACGATTGAACGCGCAAGACGAAAACGGTGTTTTCCGGCTTTGCTCTAAATTCGGGCAAAAAAAAATTGTCAGTGAAAGTTTTGGGAAAAATTGGTTTAACTTTTTTTTTGTCGAGGATTTTTTTGGAAAATTTTCTGGATTTTTTTTTCAGAATGTTTTTGGGTTCGAGACTCTCCTGGAGTACTAGAGTACTGGGTATGCACGAGTATTAGGGTGTCTAATAGGGTCTTTATCGGTTTGCAATCAATTATAACGTATATGTTTCTATAGCACTGATAATCAAAAAAGTAGCACTTTTTTTGGTAAAAAAACTAGCACAAATTTAGTAAAAAACTAGCACAAAGTCTAAAAGTTAGTTGAAAACACAGGTTTGATCTTACAAATTTTTCTGCAGGGAGTTCACCGAGCTTCAGACCAAATGTCCACAAAGAATCCACTAAATACCACTTTCGGCCTTGTGTGATGTCGGCCTGCTGGGTTGTCGGCTTTGTTTTGACTAGGGCATATTTTGAGATGATACTGCTACAGGAGCTGGTTGTTTCGACAAAAGTAGTTTGCTGTTGTGGCAAAAGTTGTCGATCGTATCGGTTCGGCTAAACTCGGCAAGCGACATCGTTCTTGATTTCGTTAACTGGGTTGTTTTTAACAGTTTCTGACTTTCGGCCAATCGACCTGTTTTTGATTTTTCGGTCGGTTGCAGTAGTTTGAGTTTTTGCGTAATCTGACCATTGGAATGGTTTTCGTTCATTTTTAGGTCGCACAAAAATGTACAGATGTATTTTGCTTTCGGATAACGATCCCCGAGTCGCGGCACCAAATTATTCTGGCCTTTTTTATAACTCGAATAAAAACAGGAAACAGAATCGGGCTTATTCCAGAGAATCAATAAACGGAGAATTTTACTAATTTTTATTGCATGGAATTAGCAACAACATTACACGTATCAAGTTCAAAAGTGGGCTTGTTCATGCGCTGATTTGTGTGATTTATGTGTTTTTTCACAATGAATTCATGCTTAGTTCACGCAGTTTAATTAACAGAAATTCAATTGCAAACCAATTTGGAACCGAATAAACTATTAGCATTTTGTTTTCTGTCGGGTTCGGCTCAAATAGGATGCTCAGTCAGGTTCGACTTAAGTGAGAAGCAAACCCACGCCGAACTCCCGGAACGCGCACTATAACGGTACACGCTGAGCTATATAGCTGGTATTGCCAAGCAACTATACTGGCTTTATACTATACTTTCATACTTTTAACTTTAATGCTATGTAGCAATAACACAATATGTTTGCTAACGACAACTCAAACCTGTCCGGAAAGTCTTTTTGAACAGTGTTAAACAAAAATATAAAATTTATACATTGAAAACTATCTATCTGAAAAAAATGTTTAACTTTTTTAAAATTTTAAAACGACGTAAACCATAAAGTTTAAGTGTCAAAACTGAAGATTTTGGCTGTGGAGGCTCACCATTATACTTAAGTGTTAGATTTCCGGTTGATTGTACGGTGTCACAAAAGCGTTAATTTTTTTTAATGTAACTGTTCCGACTTTCGTAACGAAAGTAACGGAATATTTGTGCTCGCGTGATTTTTTTTATTCAGACAATTTTCGACTTTTTAACGAGCCATTTTGACGAAATTTTTTATATCATACAAAAGTTGTCCTAAGCTTAAATTTGAAACGATATTTTATCTCTGATCTTTTTTCGTAAAGTTATGGGGGTTTAAAGATTGCCATTTTGGCCAATTTGCGACAATTAACGCCCAATATATTTCACTCTATTTACGCGTAAGCGGAGATTTAATCCGTCCTAGAAATAGTAAATCGTTCCAAATTGGTTGAAGAAAGCTTATTTGCCATAATTTATTTGTTACTAGGAGCGAAATCTATCAATTTGTACTTTATATGGCGTGTAGGGGGATGATTTTCGCAAAAAAAAACTTGAATTTAAAAAATGTATATTTGATTTTTTACATTAGATTTTTCATGTAATTTTTTTTTCAAAGCGGTTGATGAAACGTGTCGAAGTGTGTATATGTTTAGGCGATGAGTCAGTGTTGGTAACGAAAGAAGAGGTGATTAGTGTGACTCTTACTGTAGATGCCATCAATCTCTCCATGCACACTGCAAGTCCAGTTTCCATTGATCATGCCACTCAAACATTTTGCAAGAAGACTTAGCTCATCATTTACTTTTTACTGATGTGTTCTAGTGGATCTGATATTGCTAGCTAGAATGGTTTCCATAATATATGTGATTTGAATTAAGATGAAAAATATATATATTCTGACACTTTTAAAGCTGATAATATTGGTTTGGAAAATTCCCCGAATGCTTTGCATTAAGCTAATCTTCGAAAAAACTTGCTGGATATTGAGGAAAACGGAGAGGCGCTTGAACACTTTTGGTTCTACTGAGCTGATCACAATGGTTCGATTAATAACGAAACACGTTCTTAGACAAAAATCGCTCAAAGAAAAACCACGTTCTCAGAAAACTTTTACGGTTCTTTCAGGAATTAAATTGGACCTTTAAATTATGAATCACAGAAATTTCCAATCACAGATTTTTTGTACACTTTTTTGCTTATGTGGTTTTTCATGTGCGAAAGCTTACATTCTGTCTTAACATTATAGCTCGCGTGAACCTGTACTTTTCGTTATTGCTCCGACTTTCGATACGAAAGTAACGGAATATTTGTGCTCGTGTGTGTTTTTTTCTTCAGACAAATTTCGACTTTTTAACTAGCCATTTTTGACAAAATTTTTTGATATCATTCAAAAGGTATTGTTGTCTTGAGCTCAAATTTGAAAAGATATTTTACCTGAGATCATTTTTCGTAAAGTTATGGAGATTTAAAGATTGCCATTTTGGCCAATTTGGGACAACTAACGCGCGATATAATTGTTCCGACTTTCGATACGTAAGTAAAGGAATATCTGTGCTCGGGGTGGGTTTTTTTTTCTTCAGACAAATTTCGACTTTTCAACTAGACATTTTTGACGAACTTTTTTTTATTCATTCGAAAAGTATTGTTGTCCTGAGCTTAAATTTGAAAAGATATTTCACCTGTGATCATTTCTCGTAAAGTTATTAGAGTTTAAAGATTGCCATTTTGGCCATTTTGACCAATTTGGGACAATTAACGCGCGATATAATTTGCGCTATTAACGCGTAAGCGGAGATTTATTACCTCTTATAAATCGTTCCAAATTGGTTGAACGAAGCTTATTTGCCATATTTGATTTGTTACAAGGAACGAAAGCTATCTTTTTGTACTTTATATGGCGTGTGGGGGGATAAATTTCATAAAAAATTTCAAATTTTAGAAAAAAAAATTTCATTTTATTTAATTTAATTTAATTTTTTATGCTATTACTATGCTCGCTAATCTCCAAAACTGATCCATTTTCGTTAAATTAATAAAAGATATTTCTCGGCAAATAACTCGGTCAATAAATTAATTTCGGCATTATTTCTATTGATCTGAACATCATATAACATTTTTATCATCTGTCCGTTTTTGGTACAAATCGGCGCAAGCTAGCCACAAGAACCGGTCGGTAATGTCATTGAGAAAAATTGCTCTTTTTGGCGGTCAGTCTTAATCAAGGCTGAACCGAATTAGAACCAAAAAATTGTTAAAATAGGATATAACCCCCATTTTTAGTATATTAATACATGGGCAGGTGGGGGACTCGAACCTACGTCAACTGTTATGTCCCAAATATAATCGGCGTTAGCTTACTTTGTCTTAGTCCGCTTGGCCAACTGTGCTTATGGTTGTTATATTTTGGTCCAATCATATTCAAGCTTGTGTTTGGTTTTATATGCATTTATATTCTACATTTGCATTGCAACATCCTCCCCCCTGAAGAAGGAATAACCGGAGCGAGCTCAACGGTCGGCCGAGTGACATCACGGGTTACGGTCTTAACAAGGGCGGATTGAGCGCAACCGTCCTGTCCGTAGTTTAGCTTGACGATTCGGGTAAGAGGGTAGTACCCACGCGGACTATCGGGCTCAATCACCCACACGAGATCGCCTGTTTTAAGAGTGAAGTCAGAATGAGTGTGCCACTTGACGCGCTTATTCAGCGAGGGAACATATTCTCGAAGCCAACGAGACCAAATCGCGTTAGCATATGACTGCGCTCGCACGTACCTTTTCTTGTGATTGAAGTGCTCCCCGGGTAAAAGCGAAGGAAAGCTTGTGGCATGTTGTCCAAGCAAAAAATGGTTTGGGGTTAACGCTTCTAACTCACGTGAATCGGTACTAACGGGAGTGATTGGCCTCGAATTCAAAGCCTGCTCAACTAAGCAGAGTGTTGTTCTTAACACCTCTTCAGTGACTCGCCTACTGCCTAGGATATCGTACAGCACGCGCTTCACGCTTCGGACGAGGCGTTCCCAGGAGCCGCCATGATGGGGTGCGCCTGGCGGGTTAAATTTCCAAGTAACACCTTTGTGTGCAAAAATGGTCGGAGCCATGCAATTCCAGCTCTTGATGCAGGCAAGTAATTCCTTTTCCGCACCAACGAAGTTCGTGCCGTTATCCGACCAGATTGTACTTGGCGTACCACGACGCGCAATGAACCGTTCAATGCCCATGACACCAGAACTGGTGTCCAGAGATGGTACAATCTCAAGGTGTACAGCCCTGGTGTTGTGGCAAGTAAAAAGAAATCCCCATCTTTTTTCAGTGCTTCTGCGAACCGGAACGTAAAGCGGTCCAAAGTAATCCACACCCGTATGATTAAAGGGTGGTTGCTTATATCCGAGACGTTCGACAGGTAAATCGGACATAATAGGCTGGATGGTACTTGCTTTGCGTTTACGGCATGTTACACATTGATTTTCGATAGACCGAAGTAGTCGACGCAACCCAAGTATTGCATATTTCATATTTAAAACGGAGCGCATGTAATCTAAGCCTTGATGAAAATGCTTATGGTGGAGGCTGCGGGCCAACAAACGAACTAGGGTATGTCGGGCGCCGAGTATTATTGGGTGCTTAGTATCAAACTCGGTATTCACTAAGCGGACAATCCGTCCGGTGGAACGAATGATACCAGCGGGACCGATAAATGGCGAGTATGTGGCAATTTTACTATTATTCTTAATAGGTTTGCCAGCGGTGAGTGTTTTCAACTCAACGGGGAAGGATTCCATCTGAGCAAGATGAATCAGTTTGTTTTCTGCAATATCAAGTTCAGCGGGGTCGGTGATTCGTAAGTCTTTACCACGAAAATGCTTATTTGAAGGCAACTTCCTCAACATAAAAGCGACTACTCGTTTATATCTTGTAAAGGAACTGAACTTTTCCCAATTGAACCCGTGTTCGGGATGTTTGATGGATGTGACATCGGTGACGATGGAAGGTGATGTCTCCAAGCAATTATCAATATCACAAGAAGGACCCTTCAAACGACTTTTATTGATTACACGTTCGTCGGGTATAAACGACCAATCAGGATTCCTGAGAATGCTCGGACCAATAACCCAGCTGCTATCCTTGAGGGCTTCCAAAGAAATCCCCCGCGTACCGGTATCAGCTGGATTGTCGCCACTCAGAACATGGTGCCACTCATCAATAGTGGTCGATTCGAGGATTTCGCCGACACGATTAGCGACGAATACAGGTAGTTTTTCAGTGGAGTTTAGCCACTGCAAAACTGTTGTACTATCTGTCCACATGTAGACATGATTAATAGAGACAGTAAGGGCGGCCAGTATATCATCTTTTAGTCGTGTGGCGAGCAGAGCAGCTTGAAGCTCTAGCTTCGGTATAGATAGCGCTTTCATGGGCGCAACGCGAGCTTTACCAAAGATGAAGGATATTCGAGTTTTATGCGAGCTCGCGAGTCGCGCACGCAAAAATCCAACAGCACAGAAAACGTCCTGCGAGCTATCACCGAACATGTGGAGCTCAATTTGATCAACAGGCTCTGTGAAGTAACAACGGGGAATAGTCAATTGCCCTAAGAGAGGGAGACCGGAGTGCCACTCGAGAAACTTATCTCTTATGTCTTCTGGCAATTCGTCGTCCCAACTTTGACCACTGATTTTTCCAAATATCTTTCAGGAAAGGACGGGTCCTAACTGTGTATGGAGCTACTAACCCAACAGGGTCAAACACAGAAGAGACGAAACTCAAGAGGTTCGTTGAGTTATCGAGAGGACGATCCACGCCTCTGCTAACAACCAATGTATCTTTCACATGGTCCCACTTAAGACCTAAGACGTGTGATGATTGTTCGGCACCGTTACATATTTCCTTGATGGTTGAAGACGAGGTTTCGGATTCCGCGGGGTTCATTGCTGAAGTGATTTCATCAGCATTGCTGACAAATTTAGTCAAATGAAATCCTCCCAATTTGAGTAAGTAAACCAAATTGCGACTAATTTTAATTGCATGGGTAACGTTCTCGAATGAATCCAAGTAATCGTCCATGTAAAATTTTTCATTTACGACTGAGGCGGCCTCAGGGTATGTGGACATATTATCGGTTGCTGTTTTTCGCAACGCGAAATTGGCGCACGTAGGCGAATCCCGTGCGCCGAATATATGGCGAGTGTACTGATGAACTACCACATCGGAAGTGGTATCCTCCCGCTACAAAAAACGGAGCAAAACTTGATCGCGGGCAAGGAATCCTACCTGGAGGAACATACCCTCTATATCCGCGGAGACTGCGTACTTGTGTTGACGGAATCGCAAAAGTACAAAAATTAAATTTTGGAGTAGGTCCAGACCTACCAATAAGGACTTATTTAAGGATGTGCCGTGAAACTTATAAGCCCCATTAAGGACTCGGCGCACCTTACCCGGCTTATTCGGATTCACAACCGGATGGTGCGGGAGATACCAATCGCGATCGGAACGCTTACGTGGATCATGCGGTTCGACGGTAACGACATCGCCTTTCCTAATGTCCTCTCTAATTGTTTCTGCGTATCTTTCGCGCAGCTCAGGGTCTTTACTTAACCTTCTCTCCAATGTTTTAAATTGGGCGAGTGACGAGTAATAGTTGTTTGTTAGACTGACATTACTATCAATCCAAAGCATAGGCACAATGTATCTTTCGCCATTGTGAACGGTTTCAGAATTTAGGATGGATAAAGCATTTTTATCCGCGGCGGAACGGGTATCGACTTGTTTGAAAGCACCATACGATTCCAACTCGTACCAGGATTTTCT